TTGAAACATAAACTATACCTATTATAGTTTAACATAACTGTTTGTAATGTATATGAAACATAAACTATACCTATTATAGTTTATCTAAAACGTTTGTAATGCAAATGAACCCCATTTTATGTGAGTCGAATGTATAGCAAAAACATAACTATATTTATCATGCCTTATCTGGTAATATTTGTAATGACAAAGGACTTTACCAATCAGCGAGTATTTTCTTTTATATAATTATACCACAACGGAAAACACTGGTAAAATATGAAATCATTAAAGATTAACACTTTGCTCAACACGTTACAAAGTGTGATGAAAGTTGTAAGCCGTTAACTTGTTTTTAACATTTCTGCACTGTTTTTGAAAAATCACAGAAAAATAATACGAAGTCGAAAATTTAATCCGTAAACTCTGAGAGTTTAGAAAATGTGTCTAGTTTGTTCATAAGTTTTATTATGATTTTTATATGTCTCTAACTTGTGTAAAAGCGTCCATATTCACAGACTGGTCCGAATTCGTAGCTACAGTGATAGATAGTTTTGTAAAAATCACCATAAATTGTAGAAAAATCGTATGGACGTGTGCAAGTAGTCGTTTTAAAGTTATAAACCTGAACTATTTGAACCTGATATAGTTATGAAAACTAAAAAGTTTAAGATGCTCAAAACAGTTCATGAATGAACATTAAGTTTTCTGTTGAAAGTTGTTGTTTGAGTTTAGTTATGTCCTTGGTGATTTAACTTTTATTCTCCTCCTAAAACTTGAATAAAACAAGAAAATGTGGGGGTATAAACTCACCTTGAGTGATTTCAGTTGATGGATGTTGAAGAACAGAAGTTTTCAACTCAAGAACACTTAGAAGATTGCATGAACATTCGAAGTTCTAACATAAATGTGATGAAGTTGGTGTAAGAAATCTATGATTGAAGTAGAAAGAGGTGGAATAATCATATGAAGGATGATTTTACTTACCAAAGGTATATGAAGAACTTGCAAATCAGCCTTGAAATATCGAAATCTTTAGAGAGAGAAGTGAGAGAGAATGGAGTTTGTTCTTTGGTGGAGTAGGAGTGAAGTGGGAAGAGAGATGAAGATTTCCAGCTTTTTTCTAAGAGTATGGCTGGTATAACGGTGGGAAAAGGACAATGATTGACTAGGTATGGGGGAATAGTGGCTGGGTATGGCCCTGGAGTGAGTGTGGGAGGTTGCTTGTGTTCTTGTACAAAGGATAAGTCAACACTCCACCCACATAACTTACCCACTTATATGTTAAAATATAAGTTTGGGTAAAAATCCCGCGTTAAAATCACGAAACAGGCTTAAAACATGAAAATAGTAAAAAACCGGGAAAATATGCGAAAATCCGAGATCATAGCTGGAGGTTCGGTCCCTTATGATTAAAACCGAAAGTAGGAGGGAGCCGAGGGGAGGGCTCGGTCATAGGAGAAGAACCGAGAGAGATGTTCGGCTGCGAGGTGAGAACCGAGAGCGAGGTTCGATTGGGTAAATTCACAAGCGAGGAACCGAACTCAGAAACGAGGAAGCGAAGGCGAGGTTCGGTTCTAACATGATCGGCTCTGACAAGCTCGACTCGGTTCCTAGGGTTTTGGTTGATGCAAGGTTCGGCTCCGGCTGGAGGTTTCGGTTCCTTGGAAGGCTTCGGCTCCTTAGGAGGGCTCTGCTCCTTAAGGGGGCTTCGGCTCCTAAGCGGCTGATTTTCGCGTTAACTCTCTGTTTTGTGTAATTTTTGGCTGAGTTAAAGGTCGGGATGATTCGGATGACTATAAAAAGTTGAGAGAGATTTTAGGAGAGATTTGGGAGAGATTTCACATACTTAGAGAGATTTGGGAGAGGTTGAGAAAGACTTTGTTTATGACCTTTTTGGGTGTTTAGCTTTGCAACGCAAGGTTCGTACACTCCGTTAAGCTTAGTTATGAGGGTTTTATGCCTCCGAGGGATATGAAATAACGTTTTATTGAATAGTTTCATCACTTACCTGATTAGGGTTTGAAATTTCTAATCGAATGAACTTTTCAAGTGATAACTTCTTATTAAAATAGTGAGTTGCACAATAGTACATAGTGTAAGCCTTAATATACAAGGGTTAAATGAGTTGATCGGTTTGATCGGTTGCCTTTGACTTGATCGGAATTTGACGGTTGTCACGCAACCATTGGAAGATACTGTTCCCGAAATGCAACCGGGAGGTAGTAGGAGAGGGAGAGGGAAAGTGGTCGTAGAAAGTGAAGAATCTCTACTATGGTGGACACCGGAAGAGGAGTAAGCTTTGGTGGCCGCGTGGTGTGGGACATCAGAAATGAGCGCCAAGGAAATGATATGAGGAAAGTTGCTTTTAGAAAGTCGTGCAAGCAAGATTTCACGCTCTTATGAAGAAAAATTCATATTGCAATACTGATATGCTTAGTAGGAAGTTGACTCTAATGAATCATAGGTGTACCAAATTCAATGGGATCTACAACAAACTTGTTTCGGAAAAGCAAAGTGTCGAAGCCACGAAAGAACAATATCACGTCGAAATGGGTTATGTTTTCGAGTATGAAAAAGCATGGGAGATGTTGCGATCCGATCCAAAATGGATTAAAACTCCAACATCGGCGGAGTTACAATCAAAGATGTCATGAAATTCGAGTTTGTTCGACGTTTCCGATGCACGGACTAATATCGACCTCAACGCCGACACCGATGAATCCCGGAAAAAATCGAAGAGATCTCCCGCCTACGAAGACCGTGTAGGATGCGACAAAGCGAAACACACTCAACGACATTCAGATGAAATTGGAAAAAGGGGCACAAGAATTGGTGGAATTGAAAGGGAAGTTTGACACACACACAATTTAATAGCAAAAGAAAGAGTTAAAGTACAACGTGAACACTTGGATTTCTTTTGTAGGTAAGCACAGGAAGAGAGAGAGAATTGTGAAGCATAAATGAGGAACCAATTGGCAATTCTTCGATGTAGTGAGGTAGGTTTGTCGCCCCAAGATTTTGAAGTGCTTCGAGCGATAAAGGAAAAGATTCGAAAGACTTATTTTGGCTAGGATAATCATTTTAAATTAGGACTATCATATTTTTTTGTTGTAATATATTTTTTTAACTTTTGAATGTTATCTTTAATTAAAAAATTAGGTTTTATTTAAATAACATGTTTTATTAAATCGAAATAAAAAATAAAAAAGAAATGATGACATGGAAATTAGTGGGTGTTATAAGATGTTGATCATTTTCTTAACTATGTTATAACTCTAAGGGTAAGATGGCACCAAAATGGTGTTATAACATGTTGCTCATACATAATAGTATGAGGGGTGAATATTTGGATCAGATCAGTTGAATTGGAACTTAACTAGTTTCAAAGTCAGACCGATTTGAAAGGATTATGGGAACCACAGACCGTACCTATTAAAATATACCAGTTTAGTTACCTATTTTACGGTTCTTGGATCTGTCAGACCAGTACAACACTCGATACGTATGTTACAAGTTGGTGAAAAAGTGGTGAAAATTAGTTTTTTTTTTTATGCTAAACTTAATTTCTTGGGAAAGAAAAATATTACGAGGATTAAAACAAATACGTAAGGTTTTGATGTAGCATTAACAATGAATTAGGAATTTAGGATTCATTATACTATAGAAAGAGGAAAACACAAAAGCTGACAAACTCGCATCTTTGTTATCCCGAATGAATGTAACTTGATGAATCTGAAACCAAAATTGATGAAATTATATCCTAAATTGAAATGCAAAATACAAACTACATGATGGAAAAGATTTGATGTCAATACGACTTCAAACGAATACGTTATGCAATTTTTAGTTTCATAGATTAACCATACAAACTAAAAAGTTGCAATAACTTTCAGCTTTAATATACCGATTTTGAAGAATGTAACTCATTGAATATGGATCCTAAATTCATGAAATTATAACCTAAATTGAAATACAAACTCTAAACTACATGTTGGAAAATATCAAATGTTAACATAACTTCAAAAAACGAATTTTGCAAATTTTAAAATTTTCAAAAAATACACATAAAAACTGAAAGCTAAATAGCAAGAACCAGTCCAAAATCGGGAACTGGTATACCGAACCGACAAAGCATTGGTATTGGTTGAGTTTGATTTCATGTATAGAGAACAAAAAACCGGGTTGGTAGTATAAAACTGGTCCGAGTACGTGGTTCAGATGCTCACCCTAAGAACAATAGTATAAAACTGGTCCAAGTCTTGGGCTGGATACTCACTGTTACGTCTGTTGATGGTACTTTCATGTTTATTTTGTGTTCTATTAAAGTTGACAGAGTAGCTGCAGACTCCTGATTTTTGGCTGACAGTATTGTCAGTACCACCAACCTCCACCTTGTGATTGGTACCACATTTTGATATGATGAGGAACCCCCCCCCCCCCCCTCTCTCTCTCTCTCTCTCTCATTGACCTAAAGACTTGTACCAATGTTGTTTTGTATGTTTTTGATTTAGTAGATTGAATTGGTTGGGAAAAATATTGTTTCCATTAGTTGTAGGTTATAAAAGATGGAAGAGTAATAGAAAAAAAAAAAAATTGATGTGGAACTATAATTTGCGAGTAGGTCGAATGGATTCTACTTCTACCACCCTTACATCCCACTTTGTATTAGCTTTGTTGGTTAATTAGAAAACTATCTTCTTTATGTTGATAATTTTATTGAAGGCACTCTCTAAGTTCAAATTTCCAAATCGGATCAAAACCTGCAGATTGGACCAAACCATTGGGACGAATATGTAATTTTACTCTTAAAGTTATGAAATCGACCCCCCCCCCCCCCCCCCCCCGGTAGTAGTTATGTAGGCTACAACGAGCTAGCTAACAAGAGTAATAAAAAAGCCAAATCAAATTATTGTAATTATAGAGATCTTTTATTAATACCCCAAAATAACATCGAATTTCAACATGAAAAGTCAATTTGGCATCTGAAATTTCAGTCACAGATAAACTTCCTAATAAGCTTAGAAGGTAGACCCATTCCATCCAAAGAAAGAACCCTGCAAAATAGTAAAAAAAATAATTCTATTAGTTTAGCAATCTACATTTATTTATTTGTTTATATGTTATCTTACTTTCATTTGTTCCTATTACAAATTACAATATTTATATTGAAAGCAACTTTATGTAATAAAAATAAATGAAAGATGTTATAATAAACAAAATAAACGAAAGTACGTTGTTATTTCTTGCATTTAGGCTTCAGCTCTTGTTTTCTGCTATTTTCTCAAATATATTTTCCAGAAACATTGCATCTATTTGTCGGGACATTGGGTTGTATAAAATATAAATAATAATAAAATTGTAAATGATTTTATTGTATTGATTCTAAAAATAGTGAAGGGTGATTTACATGATCTAGAACTGGTGTAAAGCATGCAAACACTGTGCATTTTCTTGACTTTGATGACCCTAAATACACACACCAAAATTTAAATGAGAACACAAATGACACACATTTTCACAAGGACTAAATGCAAGTAAAAGCAATGTACTTTTGATATACTTGTGTATTATATTATTATTATTATTATTATATAATACCCTATAACATGTAAAACATATAACATTTAAATTACTAAACTTGTCTAATAATCTTAACCACACTTTGAAAATATTTGTATAAAATAAGAGTTTCTATTAAGTTCAAAAGGAAAATATATAACTTTTTGACTATTTGACCAATTTATACAATATGACACAGCTATAATTCGTAGAATTTTAAAAGTATAATGGTGAGATAAAATAGAAAAACGAAAGCAAATGAATGAAGGTACATTGCCGTTTTTTTGCATTTAGATTTTAGCCCTTTTGAGAATAGCGAGAAGATGAGAATAAATATCTTGCCTTTGAATCGAAGAATTTGAGGAAGAATCTTGACTTGGGAACAGACAATTTTGACTCAAGAATTTCTGCAACTGCAAGACTCAGCTTTTTGTTGACATCAGCATTAAGTCCTCCAATTGACACCAATTCACCATAGGCTGCTGGTTGCTCAGTACCTCCAAAAGCTATGGGTATAGAACCCTTCAACACAATCATCACATACTGTAAAATAGAACATTAAATTGTCATACAGTTTTCTTCAGATTAAAGAACAGATGCATAAGTATTATCAATAAGAAGTTTATGTTTGAGAAAAGCCTTTGGAACACCATAAATCTCAACGAATCACAGACTATATAGTTTAATTTACTCAAGCGAGTCATGATAAATCTCCGATTCATTTTCTTGGACTAATCAATTTACTCAATTGCGTAAAGATAAATTTTATAGCGATATGTCTCAATCGAGAATACTGAAGTTTTACTCGAACCGACTTTGGAATTTGAATCTGCAAAACACATGCTCTGGTAAACCCTAGAATTGGAATTTTACAGCGAATGGAGTTTCGCGTGAATTTACAGTAAACTAAGTTTAGGATGAATCTAACACGAACATGCTCAGTGTAACTTTAATAGAAACTTAATACACAAATTAATAGAAACTTAACACACAAACATAGAGGGAAAAAGAGAGAATTATACAGCTTCTGGTTTTCCGATGAGCTTGGCGACGGCAGAGGTTGCTTCGGAGAGGATGGAGGACGTGTCAATGCCGTCCAAGTTGACGTTGGTTGACAGATTTAGGCACGGCATCTTCTACAGGCAGACTCTTTGTCTTGGCCTCTCTTCACACCCTTAAAACACGCACCAACTAGAGTCTAGAAGTTTCGCCAGAATGGACTCTTGTAGTTTGTCTTTCAAGTTTGACAAAATTGCAAACTATGTCCTTGTATTTAGCTAAATATTAACATTTTGGTCAAAAATGTTTGCTAATCATTTGTTCAAAATAAAATTTTATTAAGGTTTTTGTATAAATTTTTTAAATATAATGAAAACGAATGATTTATTATTTTTATTTTGTTTAATTATTTTCTTTTTCTAACAACAATTAGAAAAATAAAAACAAAATATTACCACTACCCTACCCCTCTCTCTTTCACAGTGGTCAAGTTCAAAAGATCACCATCACCGCTAGTCAACGTCGCCCCACCACTATTTGATGAACTCAAACAAAAAATTTCAGATATGCAACACAAACTTAAGAGTGCCCACTTTCTAGCTATTCGGGAGAACTGGTCGGCCAAAACATTGGTCGATGTTTATGTACGCGAGATTATTGTTCGGCATAGTGTCGCAATTTCCATTGTATCTAATAGAGATGTTCGGGTCACTTCTCAATTTTGGCAGAGGTTCCAAGAGGAATTGAGTACGATGCTATACTTTAGCACTGCTTATCATTCGCAGATGGACGGACAGAGCGAGAGGACCATCCTGACGCTCGAGGATATGTTGCGAGCCTACGTGATCGATTCTGGTGGGAGTTGGGACTCCTACCTTCCCCTGGATGAGTTTTCTTACAACAACAACTATCATTCCAGTATCGGTGAGCCGCCATTTGAGCTTCTTTATGGGAGGAAGTGTCGTACCCCATTCTGTTGGTGGGAGGTCGGTCACAAGGTCATGGGAAAGACTGAGGTAGTTCTCCAAACGACAGACCTTATTCAGCAAACCAGGCAAAGGTTGTAGATAACTCTAAGTCAGCAAAAGAGTTATGCTGACAGACGTCGATCTGAGTTGGAGTTCTCGGTTGGTGATATGGTTTTACTGAAGGTATCACCCTGGAAGGGTGTAATACGCTTCATAAAGAGGAATAACTCGGGGCCCCGATATATTGGGTCGTTTTTAATGATTGCCAAGGTTGGCAGGATAGCCTATCGACTGGATCTGTCTAAGGAGCTTAGTCAGATTCACAACACCTTTTACATTTCTCAGCTACGGAAATGTGTAGTTGATGATTCAACAGTGATTCCTTTAGATAATATTCAGGTCGATGACCGTTTGAACTATGTTAAGAGCTTGGTGGCAGTTTTGAATAAGAAGATGAAAGCTTTGCGAAACAAGGTGGTTTCATTGGTCAAAGTTCAATAGCAATATCGGAAGGGTTTCGAGTGGACTTGGGAACCCGAGGCAGAGATGCGAGAGCACTACCCTGAGTTATTCACAACATCATACTTTAAGGCCGAAGTCTGATTCAATTGGAAGATAATTATAACACCTTGACCTATGTATTTTTCGTTTATACCCTTAGATTGAAATTACATTGCAACTTTGGTCCCTTAGCTCACTAAGTGAGGTCGCATGTTTTTGCCAAGTATGTTGGGCGTACTTAGCGTACGTAGGGCGTACATGGCTGGGGTTTAAAACCCTAATTTTTTGGGTTTGAGCCCTATTTAAACAACATTATCTCTTCAAGACCTCTTCCCTCATCAACTTCCATCTCTCAAATCGTCCCTCACCAACCTTAATCCATTGTGTGAGCATTTGAGCTTCAAAGTGTGCTTTCGGTGATCTTAAAGGAAGAAGAAAGAAGTGGAATCAACTTGGAAGCTCAATGCATCTTAGATCCAAAAGTAACTTGCCCTTAAGAATCATTTGGAGGTATAAATCTTGGATCCTGATGTGTTATTTGCTTATATCTTGTTAGTCTAGAGTTTGTATGCATTCTGGTCCAATAGTTTGGTCTAATGGAGTATGAGTTACTCCATGTCCATGAAATGTAGTTCCCCGTAGTTTTGAGCTCATAGATTCATAAAAATGAGAGCTTGGATACTATCATTGAGCCATGCAAGAGTATTGGGACTTTGGATGATTTTTGGACCAAGGTGTGGCATCCTAGAATTTAGGGATAATATTATAGACGACCAATTCACTGCAAATCTCGTTATAACTTGAGTTATTGAGCTTTAGTGCATCTTAAGTAAAATAAATAAGTTCATTTAAACTAATATAAGATGTCAGATGATACTTTACTTTCAAATGTGTAAATTGCCAACCTAATCAAACTGCTCAAACTGCAACGCTGATTAATGCGTCTGAAAAATTAAAAATTTGCATTAAGCAGTTTTGAGCAAGAAAAACATTAAATATTATAGTACATGTTTCCCCTGTTTCCGAAAATATAAAGAACGTCCAAAATGGAGTTCGTATTCAAAAGATACGACAATTTTAGGAAAACATACAGTAAAACATTGTTTTTCTTTAATCGCGTAAAAGTGAATCGATCTGTTGAGGTACTTATTTATTGCCAACAGGATTTCCAAGAACGTTTTTTGGACTCAGGCTGTAGTATACTATTTTATTTCACACTCGAAATATTTTTAACAAATATATTTACAAAAGTCGCGAAAAACGAACATCGCGAGCCATTAAGACACGAAACTTCAAACGTAATTTCTTAGAGATCCGTAACTTAAAAAATTAATCCACTTGATGTTCCGAAATCCTTGAATTAAAATCTATCTAATGTTACTTTAGAAAAAAAATCTCAACGCACAGATCCCGATGCACCCGGTTTTCTGTGTTTTTGGGCATTAAATGGGGTATGACCCCATGTAAGACCCACGTATGATTCTAGAAGCTTTGGGTCTTCTACTTCATCTCTATGTTTTCTTCTTTCCCTCCTCTCCTTTGTGTACTAGATTCATCAAAGTGGTACAAATCCATGTTTGTATGTATTTTTAGTATAAATAGAGGCACAAGAACCCTCCAAAATCACACCTCAACCTTCAGCTTCTCTCATTCCCAATCTCTCACTCTAAACTCTCTCAAATCTCTCTCCTGGTATGCCTCCCAACACCACCCAAAAACCACACAAACCACCATTTTCCCCCACCATAAACCCACCCTACACCCCTTCATTAAGCATCAACACAACCTAGACTCCATCTGGTCGAAACCCAGCACAAAACAGGAGGCATACTGAAGGAAATAGTCCCCAGAACCACCCCACTGCCACCTTCAAACACCCATTTCCACCTCCTTAAAAACACCACCATTACCTGATGTTGCTTGAAAAAGAACGTCTCCACCTTTCCTCCACCTCCTCCAACTTTCTTCTTCACCTGAAAAAGCAAGGAAAAACCGGCAGTAGGAGGCTGTCGGCCACCTGCTATCACCACCCGTCGACCCACTGTCACCACCGTGAAACTCCTCTCCAAGCAAGGATTGCTGCTGTTAGAATGAGAAGGGTAATTCAGTAATCTTTTATTTAGTATGCATGTTGTGTTAGGGAGAATAAATCAAAAGGCACATGGTATTGATTACCTGGTCTTTAGCTAGTTCAGTTAGTTCCTATTTTCATGCTAATTTTTTGTTTAAATAGCTTAGCTGTGTACGTGATTGACATATCACTTTCTTTCAACTTCAAGATAATAAAGTAAAGCCTTTCAAGCTTTAGCACACCCCTGTTTTGTCCAGATTACCAAAATAGACTAAACTTTCCAGTATTGCCCCTATCTCTATTTTTTGTCCCCTGCACAGGTTACTTTCCTATCCCTGGTTCCAGCTTTAGTATAAAGCTCCAACACTTGGTATCAGAGCAAATCCTGGTATATGCCCAAGTACCAGTCCAAAGAAGAAATGACAGGATCCAGTGGTAATGGCGAGAAAGACAGTTAGATCACTCTACACTATCCCATGCTGTCAAAGACGAACTATGGAGCCTGGGCAATCAAAATGATGGTGTTTATGCAGGCTCATGGTGTATGGGAGGCGGTGGAGCCTAGAACTGCAAACACAGCTGTTGACACAAAGAAAGATAAGATGGCGTTAGCAGCAATTTACCAGGGGATACCAGAAGATTTGTTGATGTCATTAGCTGAAAAGAAAACGTCCAAAGAGACATGGGAGGATTTGAAAACAAGATTTGTAGGGGCAGACAGGGTAAGAACTGCAAGAATACAAACTCTAAAAGCTGAGTTTGAGTCACTCACCATGAAAGAATCGGAAGGAGTGGATGAGTTTGCTGCAAAAGTAGATAATCTTGTGAGTTCAATGCGCACCCTGGGTGATACGGTAGATGAAGCCTATGTGGTGAAGAAACTGCTTAGGGCGGTATCAACCAAATTTCTGCAATTAGCCTCAACCCTGGAACAATTTGGAAATCTAGAAGAAATGACAGAGGAGGAAGTAATTGGAAGGTTAAAAGCACATGAAGAAAGAATGAAAGGCCATACCGAAAGTGATGATCGAAAACTCCTCTTAACACACCAAGAATGGGTAGAGAGAAACAAGAAGAAAAGTGAAGGAGACTCCAAATCCAAGTCGCAAAGAGGAGGGTTTGGCGGCTCACGAGGACGAGGCAGAGGCAGGGGAAGAGGTAGAGGCCGTGGGGGTCGTGGAAGAGGAGGATGGGGCATCTAGCAGTAAAGATAAGAGCAACATTCAGTGCTACAACTACCAGGAGCTTGGGCATTATGTAGCTGAATGCACAAACCCAAGAAAAGAAAGGGCCTATGAGAACCACCTCATACAAGAAGACAACGAACCTGCTCTTCTGCTGATGTCCCTGGAAAACAGACAAGAAAAGGGTGAGGTGTTCTTAAATGAAGAGAATGTGCATCCGAAATTAAAAACAAAAGGTGAAGTGTCAAGTCAATCAAGGATATGGTACCTTGATACAGGGGCAAGTAATCATATGACCGGTGATGAAGGAAAGTTCCATAACCTGAACAAAGAAATACAAGGTTATGTTAAATTTAGAGATGAATCCAGGGTCCGAATCAAGGGTAAAGGGTCAATAGATTTTCAATGTA